AGCTTACGAAGTTAGCACATTTTATTCCAGTAAGGGAGACGTATTCATTAAGCTGATTAGCTAAGTTATTCATATCGTAGATTGTGAAGTATCATGGTGTGCCAATTAATATCATATTGGATCGGGATCCCAGATTTACTTCCAAGTTCTGGATAACATTCTAGGAAGCTCTTGGTACGAGATTGTTTTATAGTACGGCATATCATCCTCAGACAGATGGACAATCTGAGAGGACCATTCAGACATTAGAGGATATGTTAAGATCTTCAGTGCTGCAGTTTGGAGATAGTTGGCATGATTGTTTGGATTTGATAGAGTTCGCCTACAATAACAGTTATCATTCAAGTATTGGTATGGCACCATTTGAGGCACTTTATGGGAAATCTTACCGTACGCCTCTATGTTGGTCAGAGGTTGGCGAAAAAGTTTTAGTAGGCCCTGAGATTGTGGGTGTGACTACTCAAAATGTTCAGGTAATTAAGTCTAACCTGAAAGCGGCCCAAGATCGACAAAAGAGCTTAGAAGACAAACATGCCACTGATCGAAAGTATGATGTAGGCGATTGGGTATTTCTGAAGCTATCACCTTGGAAAGGTTTTGTACGATTTGGAAAGAAAGGAAAGTTGAGTCCTAGGTACATTGGACCATATATGATCATCGAGCGAGTCAGTGAGGTTGCTTACAGGCTTGAGTTGCCTCCAGAGTTGTCCAAGGTACACGATGTGTTTCATGTTTCGATGCTTCGACATTATGTTTCAGATCCTTCACATGTGATTCCTCCTCAACCTTTGGAAATCAATTCGGACTTGACTTATGATGAAGAACTAGTGACTCTATTAGATTGGAAGGATAAATAACTGAGGAACAAAACAGTTTGTCTGGTAAAAGTGTTATGGAGAAATCATTCAGTGGAAGAAGCTACTTGGGAGACAGAGGATCGGATGGGGAGATGTATCCACGATTGTTTTATGATTATTAGTGGATGTATTTGTTATGTATAATTTCGAGGACGAAATTTTATAAGTTGGGGAGATTGTCACAACCCGTCCCGGAAATGTAATTTTTTGTTATCGTTGATGTGAAAAGACTAAAATGCTCTTGAGCGTTTGTGGCATTGTGGGACTATATGTGGTTGGGGACCAATGTGTTAAGTCCCTATTATTTTGGAACCAACTGGAAGTAAGGAAAACTGATTGTTTTGATTGGTGACCCAAAAATCTGGACCACACATCCTATCTTTCTCTCACTCTCCCGTGCTCTCTCTTCTCTCTCTCTCTCTCGGTTTCACTCTCTCTCATTCGAAATGGTACGAACAAGTACCCAAGACCCTTGAAACTTCACGGATCATGACCAAATTAGTACCAATGTTCGTGAGGACCATGTGAGTTCAAAGGTACCTATTTCAGGTAAGAACTCGTTCGATATCACATTGAAAATTCAAGCTCTGAGTTGAGCACTATTCACGAACTTTTAAATGGTTATGTTTTAGGACAATCCAAGCTCATAGCGAGCTTAGTGAGGTCCCAAGGAAGCTCGGGGTGCTTCGTTTGAAGGTTTTGGAAGTCGGGATTGTGTGGACGAAGTTTGGCCTATTTTCTTGGAATTCTTCATTGAGATCCCGTGACTTTTAGAACTTCAAATTGGTATGATTGTATTCTACAAGTTAAGAGCTTCATTTTGGTATAAAATACGTGAAAAATGGTGCAAAAATGAGTGAGAAATGGGTAGTTACAGGTCTGCCCAGAATCCGGCGCCGGTGACACAGTTCCGGCATCTGGAGGTTGAAGACGATGCGCGTGGGCCGCGCGTGAGGCCATGCCCTCCCCGGCGCTTGATGGCACGTGAGCCATAGAAATTTTTTGCTAAAAATATCACGATGTTCGTGAGGTTGTGTAGGTCATGTTGATATATTTAAATACCAAAATTGAGCAATGTATGAAAAATTATTAGCTAGTTTTGCTTATGTGCTTTAAAATAACATTTTATAGTTAATTTGCATATAGATGAGACTTATCCCGAGGACGAGTGTATCCACGGGCGACTCGGGGGCTACGACCCTTCGACATACCAGTGAGTGGGCTTTTGTTTTCAGTATATATTTATATACTTGATATATTTCCCAGAAATGCATTTTAAGGAAAGTATGCTTTGAAATAATATGCCAAATGCTTCTATATTTTGAATATGCATTGCATGGTTGCTTATATATATAAATGTGGTGTTGTGGAGGCACATGTGAGTTCAGGTAAATTATTTTTGGTTGTGTGAATCATCGATGATGTGATATGTGATTAAGTAATGTTGAGCTCATAAAGCTGCATCTAGGGTGATTATGAATTAGCCAGAGCTATGAGGTACATGCTTGTTTATTTACGTCACCTCCCGCACTATATGCTCATATTGGATCCAACTTAAGTGCACAACCTTGTCGTACATACCTTATTTATGGTTCCGACTCGTAAGTGAATAGCGATTCATCGCCCGCTATTATGAGAGAATAAAGTTAAGCATAATTATATTTCACCCAATCTTGTCGTACAGACCCTTCTTAGTGGTTCCGACTTATGTGCAGTATATTGCCGTATAGGTCATTGTAGTGACTCCGGTCATATTGACTTTTGAGCTATGAATTTAGCCGTACAGACTACCTCAGGGGTTCCGACTAACATATCATATTTCTATGAAATTATTATTACCTGGATTGTTTACTTTGTTATATTTTGGCATGACATACATATGAATAGGATTATGTGAAGCATAAATTGAATTGATATGATTTCATATATATATATATATATGTGTGTGTGTGTGTGTGTGTGTATACTTATATCTTGATTCTGGGAAAATTATATATGTTTTACAGCGAGGGGTTAGTATATTGATAAATGAAATGATTTTGTAAAACATTTGTTTTTGCCCACTCACGTTTTCTGTTTTGCGCCTCTCTAGGTTCTAAGTAAGCTTGCTGCTGGTGGCTCGGGATTGTCGGCTGTTTTGACTTATCAAAATAATAGTAGGACATTCCTGGTACTGTATAACTAGTACTTGTCCTACTGGACTGCACCTAGACTTTATGCTCTGATTAGGAGTGTTACTGTTGTAACTAACTCCTATCACTTTTTGTTTAGTAATGCACTCTAGTAATCTGGTTTTTAATTATTCGTATAGTTGCTATCTTTATCGCTTCCACACTGTGCACATGGCTATGTCACCCTCATTTGATGGCCAGCATGCCTTGACCTCGGTCGGGGTGTGTCAGGTTAACTAGTGGCAAGCCATGTTATCCACCTCTTTCGGGAACCGAAAAGACTCACCGAGGCATTTCAGCCTCTTCTTGACCACAATCAAGCAGACTCGCCAACTTGGAGCCTACAAGAGAATTATTAGACCAACCATTATTCACGGCTAAGGAAGGAACCAATATGGTTGTCCTCTTTCGTCTATACTGATGTAATTTGATCCAAGTTAACAAATTATTAAGTTAGGATAGGGTTTATGCTAATATTATGAAATGTAGGCCCTCCACGCCATAATTAGAAATATTAAGAGTATGACGTAAATAGATATGAGTTTAGAGTAGTATGCTTTATTATCTACACTAAAATTCGAATATACATCTCTTCGTAGTTTACATAAATTTAATGTAATTATCTTATTATTTGTAAAGTAAAAAGAGTAATATGATGTACACGAACTATTATCTCAACATTTTATAAATGACTAATGTGACGTTTTTTTAGTAGTTCAGATGAATTTAGTGTAAAAATTAGTAATATTACGTACACTAACTATTAACTCAACATTTTAGACTAACTAATGTATCACATAATGAGATAGTTACATAATAATTGGTGGCATACTTAAAAAAAAAAAAAAAATCGACCACATCAATTAGGATTTTACTTTATTTTTTAATCACTATGGCTTGAAATTGAACTTGGAACTTCTTTCAAATACTGATAAAAAAGAGTTATCGTAACATCGTTACATCAAGAGTTAGCTTACTTTTACACATATCAAAATAACTTATTTCAAACACTGTGAAACAAATTATCATTAGATCAAAAGTTAGTTTGTTTTTAGATGGATCAAGAGTTAGTTGGTGGCGATAGAAGTATTGATTACTGATTAAGTAATACCATATACACCAATTAAATTTTATTTTCAACTGCATCCAATTAATTAGACATGTTTATAAATAGTCCTTTTTGCAAGCTTGTCTTTGTTTTGAAGTTGACGATAAGAAAACTGCAGAATATCATCCCACAGGGCACTATCATCCCACATGGTACGCGTGAAATGGAGCCCACTGATTATGGTTGTCACACACACTAATCGCATTAATGGAGCCCTTGTCTACATTGATCACACACACTAATCGCATTAATGGAGCCCTACATTAATCCTACTTGCACCAGGTGGGAATAACAAACATATAACTCCCTGTCACCAATAGACAAATTATTACATATTTTTCATTATATTTAAGTGTTTCGAACTTTTGACCTAGTTTATTTGTTTTCATTGAGAAATTTTTCAGAGTGTCGGGAATGCAACTAAGTACATTGAGTGTAATAACGCAATTAGTTGAATTTGTTTTTGAAGTTGCCAATTATTCCACTTAGCATTACCTGACCGTGTTCTCGACAAATTGAAAAATCTCTCATACTCATCACTCTACATCCTTTCTACTCTTGCTAACACCAATTACTTAGAAGGATAAGAATTTGATATAATGAAGACATGCCGTGGCCAACTCAGATCTATGTCATGAGCAAGGTGAAAGACACCTTTCCTATGGTAAACAATTAAAGCATGAGGAAAACGCATTCACAATTGATAAATTCAAAAACACTCTTAAAGGACTAATGACAATATTAATATGAGGACCCTCTCCTTAGTTCTTCTCATAACTTCCTCACAACCTGATCAGAAACTGTCATTCAACCCACCAAAAAAGTTTATGATCCTAAAAAAAGCTACAACAACACACCATAAACATGTCTTCTCTCCAACAAACTTTCTCTTCCAAATCTAGTTCGGACTTCAACGAGTTCCAATGGGTTATTCAAATCCGAAAAACACTCGAGGAAGAGCTCGACGATGATGGCGAAATCCCGGTTTCGGTTTTCAATGTCCCGAAAACCCTTTTGGCCAGTGATCCTCATTCCTACACCCCACAAGAAGTTGCAATTGGTCCTTACCATTATTTGCGTACGGAGCTCTACGAGATGGAGAGGTACAAAGTGGCTGCAGCTAAACGAACACAAAAGAATCTCCAGTGCCTTAAGTTCCAAAATGTTGTTGACCAATTGATAAAGTTTGAGCCGTGGATTCGTGCTTGCTACCACAAGTACCTGGATTTCAATGGTGAGACTCTAGGGTGGATGATGGCGATTGATGCATCGTTCGTGCTAGAAATGCTCCAAGTCTATGGAGCCAAAGAAGGGAAGATTTTGACAAGAGTTTCCTCAAAGATGTCGCGCTTGGTTGACTATTCAGGCAGGAACTCAGCACACCATGCAATTCTAAGGGACTTGGTAATGCTCGAGAACCAAATCCCACTATTTGTGTCGAGAAAAATGTTGGAGTTTCAATTCCCATCGTTGGAAACCGCCGACGAGATGCTGCTTTCGATGTTGATGGGATTGTGCAAAGAGCTTTCACCCTTCAAGATGAAGGATGACGACCTGCCGAAGATCAAAGTATCAGAATGTGCTCACTTGCTAGACTTTTTGTACCAAATGATCACCCCCAAACTAGAACGCCGGCCTTCTGAAATTGTAGAAGCTGAGGATCAAGGTGAAGCCGCAGACGAAGACAAGGAGTCAAAATCTACGAAGAGCCCGAATTACGTTAAACAATTTCTTAAGGAAGTATGGAAGCTGCTGTGGAAACTAAACAAAGGGCCGGTACGTCTCCTTAAAAAAATATTTGTATCCCGACCTATTAAAGTGATATTTAAATTGCCTTGGACAATCCTCTCCAGCCTTCCTGGATTTGCACTTTTGAAACAACCTTCTGCTTATTTATTCTCCTCCCAAGACAAAGAAGAAATCAAACCCGAAAATGAGAGTTCCGTCAACATACCGCCATTGGTAGAGGAGATTACAATCCCTTCTGTGTCTTGTCTTATGGAATCTGGGGTCCGTTTCGTGCCAACAAAGGGTAGCATTTCATCCATCTCCTTTGATCCTAAAACGGTCACACTTTACCTCCCCGTAACTAGCTTAGATGTGAACGCAGAGGTGATCCTGAGAAACTTAGTAGCTTATGAAGCATCAAATGCATCAGGGCAGTTGGTTTTTACGCGCTACACGGAAATGATGAACGGGATTATAGACACGGAGGAGGACGCAAAGCTGCTTAGAGATAAAGGTATAATTCTGAACCGTTTGAAGAGTGATGAAGAAGTGGCCAATCTGTTTAGTGGTATGAGCAAGTCGATTCGGTTGACGAAAGTGCCATTCTTGGACCAGGCGATTGACGATGTGAACAAGTATTACAACGGTAGATGGAAGGTTAAAATGGCAAAAATGTTCAAGGTTTATGTGGTTGGTTGCTGGCCAATTCTTTCTTTGTTGGCTGCCGTTTTTCTCTTGCTATTGATGACATTGCAAGCGGTTTGCTCAGTTTATAGCTGCGGTCGCACATTTGGCATCAACACAACCACTACTACTTAGTGGTGATGCTTAATTTAGTTTTTTTGGGTGTGTTTAATTAGTTAATTATGTCTTAATCCCTTCTATTCTTGCTAAAGAAAAGGATATGGCTGGGTTTGCTTTCTTACTTTATCTATATATGTCTATAAACTCTAAACGTATAAATTAATGAAAAAAGTCGTCCAACCATTGCGGATAATAGATATGTCCAAGAACTAACTGGCAGCTGAGCTTGAGTCATTGTTGAATAATATAATCTACCAAGCTACCTAAAACTTTATAAAATTTATAGTGCATTTCTCCCTTAAAAAGATATATAACTTTGGATTTGATGCAGTGGATGTATAATTTTCGAAAAATTAATTGATAAATTTTTAGGTTCAGCATGGCTCACTACTAACATTAGCGATATTGTTGCTAACTTAACCATCTATTGTTAAGTGTGTAAAATTTTATCATAGAAGACCTCGATGATTTCGGTTTGGTTTGGAAGATTCAAGATTGTACTTGATTACTCCAAAACTACCAGCAAGGAGATGATGCCGTTTGCTGGCCCTGCATGTATCCTAGAAAATTCTTGAGTGCAAGGTAAGTTCAGCTCCTCAGGCCAAGGAAATAGCAGGGAGTTCTAATTAAGGACAATAGGGGGTAGTACTACTACTAAGCGGGATTTTGCTCCGCTGTCGTTGGTTTGGAAATGCTTTTAAAATGACTGAAAACGCTTTTGTTGAATTTTGGCTTTGAAAACTGGTTTGGTATTGTTGTGCTTTGAAAAAAACCTGCTTCTGTTGTGCTGTGAGAATAAGCTAATTTTTGCTGCTTCACGTTTTCAGTTTTTTTTCACCCAAAACTGTGAAAATAAGCTGTTTTTAAGTGTTTACCAAACACCTTTTTGAGCTTAGCATTTTTTGATACCCACTTTTTATAAAAGAACCTCAGTACCAAACTAGTACTAAGTGTGCTTCTGGAAGGAAGCACTTCAAGTGCTTTTCTAGAATCCACTTGGGTATTTTACTAAGAGCAACTCCACACCTAAAAACCAAGCAGGGCAAGAGTCTATTCAATCCACCCAAATGAATAGTAATTTCCCAAGTGTATATCTATCCCTAAACTGAATAACCTAGTCAATTAGTATTAAAATATTAATAATTTTTATTATAAAATAATAATAAAATAATTTTTTTTTAATTTTCGATAGAATTTTTAACCAATCTTGTCATGTCATGTGTCATTGTCCGAAAGTACAATTTTTGTGAAAGATGATTAGGCATTTATATAAAAAAAAATCATTTTACTTTTTCTTGATTTTTAAACAATTTTTATAATTTTTTATTAAGTTAATTAATCTGGACCGTAGGATTTCAAAAAGGTTGAAATCCAACAACCCGAAAGTGGACATGTGGCCAACTATAAGATTCTGACATTTTTTTGAATGTTGGAACGCGCCCCCACTGCGCATGTTTCTTGCACGCCAGTCGCAAAAACAAAATTCACATGGCTGGCGTCGGCCTGGCGTCATGTAGGTCAGTTTCTTGCTTAATCCATTTTGTGCTGGGCTCAAAGCTGGCCTCCATTTTGGGTCAGCTAATTGGATGGGGTGGAGTGGTTTTTTTGGTGTTTTGGTGGGAGGGGGGGGGAGGCTAGGGGGAAAATGGGCTATTGCCCAACTCATTCGTTAGGGGTGGACTTGCTCTAAGGATTGATTTCAAAAACATTTTTACCAAAAGTACTTCTAATCATTTTAAAAGTACTTTCAAATAAGCTCTAAGCAGTATTTTCAGTTGCTTGTAATTTGAGCTGTATCTTTCATGGGGATTTTTCTTTTCCTTTTTATCCTTTAGTTAAATCTTGCAGGATCCAAATTTTCATTAGAGAGGAGGATAAAGTTATTTTCTTAGCCAAGCCATTTGGCCAATCGCCAGCCCAGAATATTGAAGCATGATGGGCCAATTCCGATATTATATATTGGCTGAAATTTGACTGAAAAGTCAAATTTAACTGGCCTAGAGCACAATCTTATTCCACCCAACCGATCCTTGGCCAATTTGAACCAAGTGTTTGAATACAAACAACCTTACCATCACTAAAAAAACAAACAAAAAAAAACATAAACCTTACCCTCTATTTGACTGCTTCCAATCGAGAAAAACTTCAGTGAGGTTTAACTTAAGAAAATTCGGTAACTTAATCCCAAGTTATTTCTCCTCTCAATCAGGTACCAAAAAAAAACAAAACCTTAACACTATACCATTTCTTCACTTTATATATTCAAATAATCTAAATAACTCCGTGTGTATAGATTGTTTATTCACTCTATGGTCAAATAATCAAATGACCCCTTGGCAATACAACCATCATTTAACTACTTGCGAAAAGAAAATCATCTCCACTCTTGTTCAAGGTCCGTCATTTATCTCAAACACAAGGTCAAATTCTTACTAGAGAAATTCGTTTAAATCTCTTAACTACTTGCAAATCTCCAAATTGTATCAAATTGTATTGGATGAACTGAGATTTTCTTTGGATTTCTGTGTTCCAAGTCTAAAGACCACTGGAATAGACTAATGGGGTCACATACTATAAAATAAGTAATTAGAGTCTCTTAATCCTTGAAGAGAAATGCTAAGAGAGTCTAACACTTTGTAAGTTGGACTTTGGATGAACTCTATGTCATTTAGCACAATGTTTATTACTGTTAGCATGAAAATTGTGCTAAAAACATAAAATGAAGCATAATTCATAAAAAGTTTTATTTTTGAGATTTTGCTTATCATTTCTCTTTTTTTTTGACTTTTGGACGCAAAAGTTCAGAGAAATCTCAATTCGTACCCGATCAGAGCCACCTAGTGTTTGTCATTGTGTGGAGCAGAGAACAAACATACAGTAAGGCACGTGCCGCCTTGATACCATCGGTGCTATTCTATGGTCGGCACGAAAGTGAAAACCTCAAACCTTTTAAAATGCAAAAACCATCCCATCACCGGGCACAATATTCTCCGTAATCCTCCCCAAACCACCTTTCAAAACATGGTTTCCATACAAGAACGACATCTCAGATGTAGGTTTGAGCCAGACCTTGTGTTTAATTAGCATTTGATGCCAATACACTCAGACATTGAACAGTTAAATGGAACTTGCCACCATGAGTGAACCTACCGATACAGGTACCAAGAGAGACTAACTGGGTCCGAGCTATATTTGTAGCACGCTTTACTAGTGACTCGCTACCATGGTAAACTCTGTTCTTGTGGAGGCGAAAGCAGTAACTACCTGAACCAGGGTTTGGGCCTTCATGAGAAGGGTTCTCGACAATGTTTTTGAGGTTGTTGCCTGTAAACTTGAACAGCTTTTCAAACACTCGTGGTCTCAGTCTCGTCTAAAGGTCTCATCTTTGTCCGTGTTATGTCTCCTAAGGTTCTGTACTGCTGATAATTCATAGACACGGCACCATTCAATAATATTTAAACACTTCTCAAGAGGCAAACAACCACTGGGAGCCTGGCTTCCCAGAACAATCCCAGAATATTTCAGTCCATCGTTTTCATATTTATTTGGCAGAAACTTAATCACTCATGAATTGTATGCTTGATATACTCTTCGACAAAAACTATGCAAACCGTTGAGTTACATCAGTTAAACAAAAGCAAAAGGCACAAAAAAATGAACAGCTCCAGAACTACCATCCAAGCACAATGCAAACCACAAAATGTTATAGTAAAAAAAGCCAATACGAACTTATTTCATAAGGCAACATAACTATCCGAAACTGTGAAGAAAGCATTTCCAAAAAATATTTGGTCAGTTTCTAAATACTGAGGTATTCAAACAAAAAACTTCTCAAGTTAACTCAAGAAAGGGGAAAAGGAGGAATTTCAAAACAAAGAATGCCAATTTTCCACCGTCTAAAGTGTTTACGAGTTGGACTTGTTATTCACAGAAAAGAAAAGTCAGACGAGAAAACTACTATGTAACGGTGATAGAACAAAGAGAACATATAGGCCTTGTGGCATTACAAAGAGAACCTATTTTCCTTGTTAGACATACATCCACTAAAACCCCAGAAGCTCAAATTGTTTGAAAATTGACCAACAATGTATATTAAGCAAAACACCAAAAGAGATTGAACCAATGGCTTAAGTACTATTTAGCAATAACGTCAGCGGTGTAGTGAAACTTTACAAGCTCAAAACCCCATAACTAACCCCGAAAACCATCACGGCCTGCCCCGAAAATGCAAACGGAAACGAACCCAGTTGCAGAACAAATCAGAAACACAAATAAAACCAATTCAAATGCTCAAAAAGGAATCAGAAATTCAAACAGCAAGCCATAACTCACAGATGACAGAAATTTAGGCAGAACAATAATTCCGAAAACCAAGTTAATGAATTAATCCTATATAGTAAACCAACAAACAGAAACAAAAATACACAAAACCCAACAAGAATCAAAGCATAAATTTTGAGAAAAGCAATAAATAAGGGATTGGATGGGATAAATAATACGGACCGAGTGTTTAGCACAACTTCGTACTAAATAGCATCCGGATTAATTGTACTGACCTCACATGTTTTATACCGCACACACCTACTAATTGGGAGCATTTTTACTCATCACTATAAATTATGCTGTATGCTCACTATACATCTAATCAATTGATACGTGTCATTTCATTTAATTTTGGTTAATTTTTTTTTAAAATTGAAAAACTAAAGTTAACTAGAATTAAACGGAATACATGTCAATTAATTAGGTATATGATGATCATATACCATAGTTTATGGTGTGCTCTCCTGCTAATTTATCCACCCCAAAACCTAAGGATTATTAGTCGGGTATGAAACAACTCTCCCTCTCCCGCTCTTTATGTCCCTCCGTCGTCACGTTTCTCTCACTCGCATCGTTCGCAAGACTCATTCCTGTTCTCGTCGTTCAACCGTCGTTCTTCTTCTTCTTCTCTCTGTTTCTATAAACTTCTGTGAAGTTAATTAGGGTTGGACGACGAAGCTTCCTGGCTAAAT